GATGTTCCCAGAACTTAAAGTTATCAAATTCAGCTCCTCCGTGTGAGTGGCTCTCACCCTGCAGCTTCGTGAAAGCTTTTGGGGAGAAAAATTGCTAAATCGGGAACCAGAAAAGAAAGAAAGCTGAAATTCTGAGAGAATACTTCCTGACCAAGTACCACGTAGTCGCACAATGAATTTTCTAAACTTTGAGGACCGGTATGTCATAAATTCTAGCTACTGAGACTTCAAACGATCTTACAAGAGCATGAAATACTGCAAAACGCATAATCGCACAGGCCCGACCAGTGCGCGTCGCCAATGATTTATTTTCACAATTGCAATTCCTATCTAAATTTTTTTCTGCTCAGCATCACGTATAGTCTGCGTTTTACTCGCGCATTCAAGCAAGCAAAAGCTTCCACGAGTTTTACTGTCCGCCTCGACTTTCTAATTGAGCCGCAATCAGGAAAAAAAAATTTCCCGCTTACTTCATGGCCTACGATGGAGTAGTAGGCAAAAAGTTTATGCATATTTTCGATTGCAGCAATATGATAATCAAGTGAAGCAATTAAAACTGAATAAATTATTGCTCGTAATGAATCGGAAAAAGGATATATGAATGCGTTCAGTATCGCTGGAAAAAATTCCTTTACAAGGCAGCTGTTAGATTTCTTACTAGACAGCCCAATAATATTGAATTAAAACGACCACAAATACCCAAAAGTCCGAATCAAAAAAGAATTTTTCAAACAAAAATAAGCAGAGAATTGAAACAACCATAAACGGGAAACAGCAAGCGAATTAGCCAAAGCAATGACGATTCCTCAGGAAAATGCTCATTCGTAATGAGAAGTACCATGCTTTCGTCACTGATGCAAAGTATTTTGCAGAAAATTACAAGACATTTCACGAATTTCAGCCTCGCTAAGGTCCAGCTTGGTTGTTAGTTATCAGGCGGCTGTTGCAAGCTAACCCCTCAGTTGCCTTTTCGTGACATGAACTTAAGCGGTGCCCGGACGTTTACCGCAGCCAACCTCTCGCCAATATACGTCTCTGGATTTGCATAAATATGCGGAAGCGAATAATGATTGACGCAAATCAAAATATCATTAAATTTTGATTCGGCTTGTAAATGTAAAACAGAAGCTGATGGTAAAAAACTGCCAAAATCGAAGTTAAGCAACAGAGAAGCAATATGAAGCAAAAGTACGACAAGATTTGAAACAAGCAGTTAAAGAAGCCGAAAATGATTTCAGCTGCTCTTCCGGAATGTTAAACTTGTCTATTAGCTCACAGAATCCATCTTTTTTCCTCTTCTCGCCTTCAGTCACCAATTCTTCACTTTGTTTCACAGTTCAGATAATATGTACACTGCACAAATATCGCTAATGTGCACGAATTTCATTCGGGTTTTCTTCAAAAATACATGATGAACTTGTTCAGCAGTAGTGTAAGCACCTGTTCAGCTTTTTCCTTCCAACGTATGACAAAATGGGCTTTAAGGCATTCCATTAGTCGGCAGTGTTTCTAAAAATTTTCATTATTATTTAAATCTTAATTGCTTGCAAGCCAAATGCCTTTTATCCAATGACAAGAACGCAGCAGCTAAGTTTGATGGAATTTTTTACGAAATTTATGCTAAAACATAAGCAAAATTAGAATACAGAAAGACGAAAGTGAAGAAAAATAACCATTCGGATTCTTCCCTCATTCTGAAGCCCCTGGCAAGGCACTGTTAAACATATAACTGTAAAAAGCGCCAGATCCTCCTCCTGCACTTCGACATTTAGGCCGTTCATGAAATCGGCAATCAAATGGCTGTGATCCCCAATAATTTTTACACACTTATCTTCCGTGAAAATGGCACGTAGGATCTGAAACTGTATGCAAAAATACAAAATTTTTGTGACTTTTGAGTTTTGCGTCAGCTGAACTTAATGGGTTTTGAAATCTGGCATTAATTCCTCAAATCAATCAATCATTAGCGTGCATTTGTACAATCTTTCGTTTTTGCACAGTTTGATGAAGCAATCAGACCGTTATAAATGACCATTGCATTATGGCT